CAAATCCCAGTCTGAGGGCCTTTCTGGGTGGAGTTTGCATGTTCTCTTCGTGCATGCGTGTTTTTTTTTCCGGGTACTCCAGTTTCCTCCCACAGACCAAAAACATGCATGTTAGGCTGATTGGTGACTCTAAATTGTTCCTAGGTGCGAGTGAGAGAGTGAATGGTTGTTTGTCTCGTTTGTCTCTGTGTGTCCCTGTGATGGACTTGCGACCCGTCCAGGGTGTACCCCGCCCCTCGCACTGTGATTGCTGGACATGGGCACCGGTGTCAGCGGACCAATATCTCCTCACAGTTCCAGGAACTCGTCTTAAGCACAGAGGTGACAGGGCCTTCTCTGTAGCAGGACCAAGACTTTGGAACGAGTTACCTCTGCTTGCCAGACAGGCCCCCTCCATCTCGGTTTTCAAATCCCGTGTAAAAACTCACTACTATTCAGTAGCTTTCAACACCAGAGGATCTGTGTTTTGAACCTGTATGCTCCACACTTGTTTGTCGTCATATTTATTATCTGCATCGTTTTTATGTCTATATTCTGATATACTTCATTTTGTATTTTGCCTCGTGTGTTACCTGTTGTTCTGTCTGTACAGCACTTTGGTTGGCCTTGTAGCTGTTTTAAGTGCTCTATAAATAAAATGGTATGGTATGGCGACCCCCGTGACCCAAAAAATGGAAGAAGTGGGTAAAAGATAATGTATATATATATATATATATATATATATATAATAAACACAAAAAGGTCTTGCCATAAACAAGAGCGTTTCCTTGAACCTTTAGGGGTTTAGATCCCCGTTGTGCTGTCTGGAAACCAACTGGAGACAAAAATGTGCTGAGTGTTTTCCAGTAGAGTTTTCAGAGTTACCTGAGGATCAGTGCATGCCCTTGCCTGTGTTTTGGCTGATAACAACCCCAGCTTACGTTGCCAACACACAAGTTGCTCCACAGCAAAGTAAGCCAGAGAACAAGCTTTCTAAGTGTCGGTTTAAAAGTGATGAAGTTTAAGAAAGTCAGGTTTGTTCACTTTCAGTGACGAGTGATTGAATTTTTATTATGTTCTTCAATTTTCCAACTAAAAACTTTAAAACATGCCTCATTCAGAAGCATGCACGTAAACATGCAAAGGACAGTCGCAGCTTCTTATGTGATTGCGTTGTTTTCCTGCATAAATGTTAGCGTAAACATCAATTTTACTTTTTAATCACAATCATCTCAACCTAAAGTACCAATCAGGTAGAGCTACTTCCTGTTAGATGTTTCCATCTGCAGCCATGCTTAGAGGATGACATAAGCAGATTCTTTATTGTCATTCTCACAACATGTGGTACATGTGGTGGAGCGAAATTATGTACACAGGGTCCCAGTTACATCCAACAATAAAATGTATAAGAATAAGAAAAATGCATAATCTGTAAGGTAATGTTAAGGAATCGAATGTCATCTGCGCTCTAATGAACAAAACCACACTGTTAGCATGACTTAGCAGAAGCACTGGAAGTAAAAGAAAATGTTGTATTGTCCAAAGTTAGAGGTAAAGATCAATGCAGTTGCTTTCTGAACCAGTTGCCAGGCAAATATTAAGAAGTTATTCATTAAAAACACTCTGGCTCATATAATTGCAAAAAGAATGACACTTTTTGAGATACAGATTATGAATTGTATATATTTATCCATGCAGCTATAATTTCTGAGACGTCATGGAGGAAGCAGCTTTAATTAAGATCCCTGTACTTCCTTCACTGAGACTACGTCCTCCCTCCATCTGGAGGGGCAACCCTTACGTATCCAGTGAGTCTGCCTCCAGGTTCCCAATCCGTAGGTCTCGTCTTGGAGGGCATCCTGAATTCAACCTCACCAGATGCTTGAACCACTTAAATTGGTTCTTTGCTATGGGGAGGGGTATCCCTTCTACTTTAAGCTCCTCCTGAACACCTGACTCTATTTTTCAGAAGATTGTATTTGCAATCTCAGACTTCCAGTCATTATCCCCAGTTAATGACCTGTGTGTTGGAACAAAGATCGATTGGTCAATTGAGAGGTTTCCTTTTCAGTTCAGCTGTCTTCACCATGACACAAAGTCCACAGTCCACGTATCAACCTCCTGCTCCCTTTACTCCCATTTGTGAACAACACCCCCAGATCCTTGAACTCTTCTACTTGAGACAGAGGCTCATTCGCCTCCTGGAGTTGGCGGTCCATCCTTTAACAGTCGAGGTCTACAGCCTCAGGCTTGTAGTCACTGATCTTCATCCTAATAGCATCGCACATGGCTGCGAACCACATCAGTGCTCGCTGGAGGTCTTGACGAGGCCAACAGGACCATACCCTCTGCAAAGGCAGCGATGCAGTCCAAAGCTCCAGAACTGGAGACCCTCGCACCCTTTAGCTGCACCACTTCTCTTAAAGGTTATGAAGAGAATCAGAGGAAACCAGATTACTGGCATTGTGAACCAAACTCTCGCTGCGGTTCTACAGGGACTGAACCCTTCGTAGCGGGTCTGGAATTCCATGGTACCCCCAAAGCAGTACAGTATACTTTTGAGTGGCTAAAAGTATGCAAAACATAAAGTACACGTGAAGCTGTGAAGGCTTCTGACACTCACGCAGAAGTGATGGCTCTGTATCGCTCCAGGCCTGCCGTGTCCCAGATCTGGGCCTTGATGGTGAAGCCGTTGAGCTGCACGGTCCGCGTGCTGAACTCCACCCCGATGGTTGTGCGACTGTCGTGGTTGAACTCGTTTTTAGTGAAGCGGGACAGCAGGTTGCTCTTTCCGACACCAGATTCTCCAATTAGAACCACTGGAAAAGACACAGAAGGATCCAAATAAAGTTCGTCTTCTTCCTGTCTTTGTTTGGAGTTTTTCACTATTATAGTCCTTGTTAAACTAAACCACTTTTTTCTTAATAAAAGCCTTTGGTCTAGGTGTGTCTTTGATTTAGTTGCTCCATAAATCCACAGTCTTCGCTGTCTGAGACTAGACTAATTACTCCATTAGGCAACAGCTTCATTATAAATGAGTCATGTGTTTAAACTGCAGCACGCACCGCACAAAAATCATCCACTGAGTTAGCCATAAGTTCTCATTTAGCAACGGGACAGTCAAAAGTTTCACGTCAAGTAATAAAATATTAAGTTTGTCAAGATGTCTGCAATCTTTTTCAGTTTTAGCATTTAGTCCACAGCAGCTTTGTTATCACCTGCTGTCCAAGGCAAAGGGGTGATCATGTTTTCGCCCTCTCCAGTGTGTGCACGTTTGCATTATATATTAGCAAAATATCTCATGAACCACTAGACGGGTTTTACTGACAGTTTAGTGAGTTTTACAGGTTCAGTGCGACTACTGAGGGTGGTAGTAGCTGAGAGTCATCCCAGCACACACTCCAAGCGCTGCTCAGTAATTGTTGAAGTAAACTCTGAGCCTTTGAGAAAAAAAAAAAAAAGTGTTTCTTTAAATGAAAGAGCGACGAGGGCGAGGCGAGAGTCCAGATCAGGTGAAACGAGTTCAGCAGCTGCTTCTTCTTCGTTTTAACCAGAGAACCTTACAGAACAGACTGGCTGAAGGTTTCAGAAGCCACCCTCCTGCACATTTCATAATGTTTGTGTTTCAGTTCTGACTCATAAAAGGCCTGAACTAATCGTCTCAGGCAGGAAACAAAGACCACCTTAGGACAACAGCAGAGATTAGATCTGCTGAGAAGTGGATAAGATAAAGCTGCAGCGCAGTGCTGCGATCAGAAACCTGTTGCTAAAGGTCTTATGAAATCTCAAAAGCCTTTAATTGTGGAGTTTGGGTGTGAGGGGAGATCAAAACGTATTTATGCGTCTGATAAATCACCGTTGTTTGGTCAGAGTGAGGAGAAGGATTAACAGGATGCAACTCTGACACAATCAGAAACTAAAGCAACCGTATGTGTAATCCCTAAAAACAAAGAAACTGGATTCTAGACTGAATGGGATGCTCCGTTTATGCCGCTAAATTCACATGCACATTAATCTTCCTCCCTGCCTTCCTGAGGGTCATTATGCTCTGTCACAAAAGAGCATTATGGGTATTTTGTGCAATAACAGCTCAAACAGCTGTTTTGGTTTCAAACATCTTTTGAGAATCCAACAAAGTTAAGTCAGGTCCTCTGGACGGGTTCTTTTTGTTGAAACGTTTCGTCCTTCATCCAAAAGACTTCATCAGTCAAAGGAGCCGCAATCAGGATGTTTTGAACCACTTTGACCAGTCGGTGGGGGAGAGGGTGGACTCCAGAAACTAACTATTTATAATTACATTTTCATCTTTAAATCACTTCTTGGTCTGCTGCCTTCATACATCTCCTCCTACATGTCTCTGCGTGAGTGCAGCTACAGCGTGCGCTCTCAGGACATTATTACCTGCAGTGTTCCTCAGTGCAGACTGAACTAGGCAAAAGGGCCTTCTCCTACTAATTGTCTATTGTTGTCCATTGTTTTTCATCACTCTTTGCTGAAATCATGGGATTAACCTGTCTAAATAAAGGTTGAATGAATGTTGCAGCTCCGCAGACTGATTAAGTCTTCTGGATGAAAGACGAAACGTTTCAACAAAAAAAATCCATCCAGACAACCTGACTTAACCTTGTTAGCCGGGCTTAATTTGAGCCAGATCCTGCTGGAACAGGATCTGGAAACTCTTTTATTTTGACAGGGTGCGTTCCGGTAACTGTTTGCTTTGATCCGGTAACTGTCAGGCCTACTAATAATACAGTTACAAACAAATTTGACTGCCTTGAACGAATAAAACCTATATTAGATAAGTAACCTGAAAATAATTACATAAACACTAATTTTAGACATAAAGCAGCCTCTTACATGCTTCCTAAGATCACATAAGAGCTGCCCCTTCAATAAGCATTTCTGTTTCTAGCCTTAAAAAAATCTCCGCCCCTGGGGAGGCAGGGTTAGAATGCTTGAGAGAAGCAGAGCGTGCTCTATTCACACAAGGAGAGCTGTTGGTCAGGCTACTTCTTGTTGCTCTAAAATAGTTACTGAATCAAGTGTTTACAAATGTAGGTAAAAGTAGACATTTAACAACCCCATTAAATACACCAGAATACGCAGAAAGTTTTAAGAATGGACTGAAGACCTTCTTATTTGAAAGATTTTAGTGTTACAATGTATTTTTAATCCTGTTGTGTTTAGTTTTTTTGCTTTTCAGTTTTTTAGTCCATGTTTTATTCTCTTGAGATGTTTTATACTGTAGCACTTGGAGATTGTAAAATGTAAAGTGCAGTACAAATTTAATAAATTTATTATTATTATTATTATCATTATTAATGCAGGAAATGGCATCAACTTTATTCAAAATTTTCTGGGGGAGGACCTCCAGACCCCCTGCTGTTTGTGTTCCAGCATTGTTTGATTTACAAATTAAGCACTGCTTGTTAGGTTTTTGAGCATGAATCAGGATATCTGCTGAGAATGTTTCTAAATGCCTCTCAGCGTTGGACAGTTCATTGCCTGCTGCTAAAGACAAAGACATGTCTGTGTCTGTTAGCAAATTATCTCATAAACCACGGGACAAATCTGAACAAAACTCGCAGTAATAACTGGAGTTCCTTCTAAAACCGATTTGACTTTTGGAGTCATTTGAATTCAAGATGTCTGAGAGAGCAAATTCACTTTAAAATGTATAAAAATAGCTGTAACTCCGTCAATCTGACATGTATTCATGTAAAATGATGTGATAGTAGCTGAGGCTAACGGACTGTGCGAGGTCTTTGTTTAAAATGTTGCCATTAGGTGTGTTTCTGTTGTTTTCCACCTCAGTTCTACAGATAATGAAGTAAAGTTTGGTGAAACTCTGAGTCTGCTGGAGTCGCTCAACACTCGACGAAGCTAAAGCAGAATAGTTAAAGGTGAAACGTGCTGAACGCCAGCTATCATCTAAAAGACGCAAAATGAAAGATACAAGTAGAAAAACACCTGCTACTCACTAAAGTAGCAAAAAGGCGCAAAGCAGCAAAAGTCTGGATAAAATAAAAAGTGCTAATTAAAAGCAGGAAATGAAGCTAAGATTTAAAATGACAACATGGACGGTAGGACCTGACTTTGGCGTGTTGTATGTTTAACCCGAGCGCTGAGGATATTTTGTTTTGGGGTTATTGTTCACTCTGCAGAGCTGCTCTCCTCCGTTTTCTTTCTGCTACTGAGTAACTTCTTGAGCAAACAATACTTCTGGTTTCCATGGCGACGCAGGACGAGCGACTTCGTTCGCTCTGCAGGTTTGGTTCGTTTATCCAGAAGGAACCCAGAGGAACTCGACGTGCTGCCGTGACGCTTCGGAGGTTGTTGTTTTTCTGCCTCGGCTGTCCTTCAGGGCGAGAACTTCTGGACGGCTCAGCTGCTGCACTTTAAAAACTCTGGTTTTAATATCAGTTCATGGGCGGTTAACTAACCAACACAACATACAGTCTGTGTTAACCAACGTGCAGCCGGGTCGGGTCAGTCACATTCCAGACTAAGTGGTTTGACTGATCAGAATCAGAGAATCTGTCAGGCTGCATGAACTCCACAAACACAGAGAAGTAGACGTTTTATCTCAGCCTGATCACATCTGAGCCGTTCTTTACCAAATCCAACAAACAGCTGAAACAAATACAGGCCCGAGATTCAGTGATGGAATGCACATCACCCGCCACAGTGTTGGATCACATGCACACCTTGAAAACAACTTGAAGGGTCTCATATGTGACATCGCACTCAGTGTGTGTGTCGTGGACGACTCTCAGCTACTACCACAGCAAACTTCAGCTCAGTATCTGCGACACTGACTGAAAGTCTTTCCGCCTTGGCGTTGTCTTAAATATCTGCAGTCAAGAGCAGCAGAAACTCCTGCTCCTCTGAAGGTGATGACCATCTGAGCAGCAGCTGATCCTGGGTCTGCTGGTTTAAGTTTTATGCACAGTGTTTCCAGAGTTCAGCCGAATGTTTGGTAAATAAACAGTAACCAGATTCTTCATGTTGTAGCTGGACTCAAATCAGGACGTGGTCTCTTCTGATTCAATAATTCTGTGAATTATTTTCTGGTATTTTGTTTATTTTGTGCCGTTTTAGCTCTTCACGTATGAAAACCTTCAGCTCGTTCAGCAGACGGGGGCTCGGACTTTTCAAACAATTAAACTTGATATAAAAACATCCCTGTAGAAAAAACATTGAGATCTCTACGTTTAAAATGTTTGACGCAATCGTTCTGCTAACAGTTGTGTCTTATGATGCTTTAACATTTTTCTACTTTTAGCTGACCTTTTGCTACTTTTTTTCTTAGTGCTCAACGTTTGCAGTTTTAATTTCTAATTAGAGTTTTGATACTTTTAGTATTCAGTTAGCTTTTTGCTACTTTCAGTTAACTAGCCTTTTAGCTTTTTCATTTGGCAGCGTTTCCTCCTTTTAGCTCGTCCTTTGAAGGTTCACCAGCTCGGTTTCAGTTTTTCAGCAGACTTCAGCTGTCATTCAGTCCTCAGCATTCAGACTTTCCCTTCCTTGAATTGTGTCGGTTTTATTAGAGAAAATGTGCCAAACTGATGATGTCACTGCAGTTCTAGTCAGCTTTGCAGTGATGCAACTTCTGACCCATATTCATATATTTTGTTTTATGTTTAGTTGTTAAGATCCTGAGACACAAATGAGACTACAAACGATGGAGCTGCTCTGGTTTTATGGCGTCTCTCTGTTCATTATTAAGTGTTTTGCATTCTGATGACAGCCGGCACACTCACTCCTGCAAACTGTGAGGTAATAATAAACAAGGAAGTATAATTAGACGCTCAGGAGGGGTTATTACAGAACACCTTTCAAATTCATCAAAAATACGTCCAGGGATGAAATGAAGAGCGGAGGATGTGTACTCACCCTTAAAGACAAAGTTGTAGGCTTCATCTGACCCCATGTTGTGTCCATTCAGTCTTGTCCACCCTCAGGTTACAGTCTGAAGGCAGGATGGAAGATGAACCGATCTGAGCCTAAAGCTGCGTGACCTCTGACCCCTCACGCTTTAAAGCACAGCCACAGATGCCACACGGACGCCTGTCTGCGGCTCTCTGCCCTTCACCACCCTCCTGAGTTAACAGAGAGCCGGTTTGTTTGAACAGGGCACGCTCAGTGCGTCCAAGTTGTTGTGCTGCAGTGGGCGGGGCTTCGGTTAGGGTGCAGCACAGCAGGGATGGGGGCGTGTCCCAGAGGCCGGGTCAGGTCGGACAGGTGGGGTGAGTGGCAGCTACACCTGAGGACTGCCAGGCGCCTCCTGGTGGTCTAAACATGAGCCTGTGCCACATCTGGCTGACTATGAAGATAAATTAGTCTCAGAAGACACAAATGTACAAGACTTGCATACGTACAATAAGTACCGCGTTTTATAAATGTACACATTTCAATGTGCACAAGTAGGAATATTCTGTCAAATACACGTGCACAAATCACCTGCTGCGCTCGGATCAGCTGTGACTTCAGATTCACAAACGATGCCTTCAAGGCTGATGGAAAAAAAAAAATGGACGTCTGAGCCTCATCAGATTTACTGAGTTATTGAGAAAGACTAATTTTTAACTAGACAGAGAATTTTTAAATATTATTTTCTCCTCATAATTTCATGGATTCTTACCGTAGAATTAGTTACTGTCGCACCTTAACGCCACTTCTTTATATTTTTGAACAGGCAGCAGGGCAGCTAAATGTCTGTGCTGATGTTTTAGACTCAACTGAAACTTTTTTTTGTTATACATCACATCATCTGCAAAGACACGATTGCCTGGATCAGCTTTTACCTCCGCTTTTAAAAACCCGTTACGCCACATCCTAACATTTTTAACTTGATAAGCATTAATGCTGGTTAAGAAAAACATGTTTTATCTTAAATTATTAGTTTTTAATCAGTTTTATGACGCATGCTGCTGACCTCTTGGCCAGGCTACGCTCGTAAAAAGAGATCTTAATCTTAATGTTTTTAATCTTGTTAAATAACGGTAATAAAAAAATGTTGAGTGAAACCAGCAGCCTCCGTCACGGTCGACTCATCCTGAATCGAACAAACATTAAAATAGGTCTCGACCTAAACCTTTCAGGAACTGATTTTCTGTACAAACAAAAGAAGATTAGTTTATTAACAGTTTTATAAATATCTAACACTTTAAGCTTTATATGAAAATAAAAACTGACCCGAGGCAGTTCAGCTGAATCAAACACTTTTATTTCCTTCCTTTAAGGATTCTTATAAATCAGACGGTTTAGTTTTAAAATAATGTTTTCAATGGACCAACTTTAAATAAAACGAGGATATTTTAGCCAGAATCTTGTTTATTCAACACGTTTGAAATAAAGCACAGGTGAATATTCTTAACTGCAGTTTTCAGACACTATCTTATAAAAGTTTCCACGTCACCTTTGGCTCCTGAAAAATGTTCAGTTTTGCTTTAAACAACATCGCTGATTCTTTTCTCAGCAGGCGAACAGACGACGCCCTCCTGACTGTTTACATCAAAGCAGCTGGTACCTCCAGAAGTGCACACACCTGAGGCAGGATGGGTCGTGTACTTAGTGAAGCGTCAGGGTTACAGTAGTCCATGAAAGACCTGGATCAGGCAGTTTCTGTTGTCGTTCCAGGCAAACAGAAGCAAAATCTCGAGCTTCGGTCGGATCTTTACGACGATGCAGCCACTTGAGTTAATGGTTCCTCCAGATACTGCACCAGAGCCTCCGCCTACACACACACAGCACGGTTACCAGGAAGGTTTAAACCATAAACTTTGACTCAAGCTCATCCAGACGAAGAACAGCAGCGACGTTTAAGTGCAACACGGTTTAACTCCGAGGAAAGACTCGATCAGTTTGCAGCTCTGGAGCCACATGTGGCCCTCAGACCATCTGAAGTGGCTTCGACTAAAACAACAACATGAACCGGAGTTGTTTTCATTTACAAAGTGGTGCCAAGAAATTGTACTTTGAGTCATACATTTCTGCCCATGGGTTTAGAAACATGTGAATCACACGTCTGCTGCAGAGCGACACCAATAACAGCAGCAGGTCCAGCTGCCTGCCTAACAGAAATAATTCAACACATCAGTTGTTGTAAATATGTGGCACCGCTTCCCATCAGAATGAGCTGAATGTGTCTCGTGTTTTTACAAATGGTAAATGAACAGCACTTATACATCTCCTTTCTGTCTTATCAATATACTCAAAGCTCTTTACAACAATCTGTGCCTCGTTTACCCATTCATACAGCACTCTACTAGATCTCTACAAAGAATAATCAGTGCTTTATCACATTCATACACCGATGGGACAAACATCGGAGGCAATGAGGGGTTCAGCGTCTTGCCCAGGGACACTTCAGCATGTGACTGCTGGTGGAATCAAACCCCCAGCTCTCCCATTGAAGGGCGACTGCTCTAACCGCTCAGCCACAGTCACCCAGATGTGTATAAATCTCAGGGATGAGTGTCACAGTTCAGGTCAGTTCTCTATCCTGTCGATGACCTACAGTACAGCAGTTCTTAAAATCATCATTTACATATTTAATGAAAAGTGCTGTGAAAGCAGAAATAAGTTTTGCACATCTGTTGGGTTTTATAAATTTTGAGGCAATGAAATAAGGGCCTATACAAACATAAAACTTGTGTTTTATAAGAATGTAAAAAACAAACAAATAAAAGCCTGCCCCGAATAAGATATTCAGCAGTTTAAGTACATAAAAGTTGTGTTTTTATTGCCTTTTAAGATTTTAATCAGCAGCTCAGTCGTTCATTCATCGAAAAGTGTGAAATGTGTTTTGCTCTTTTTCCACAAAACTGTGAAGGACTCAGATCTGCATCGTGCTAAAGAAAGTACCATCTGTCTGAAAACAGTTTTAATACACATTATGTAAACAAACATTCAGTGAGTGTGTTTGTTTAACACACGTAGTTAACAATTAATTCATTAACTTAATTAAGTAAGTGTCAAAACTCACCTTGGCTTTAAGCATCCCAAAGCCCACAGTCTCTTTGGCGTACATACACAGCAGCAGGTTGGCTACCTGCGTGATGGCCACTCGTCCCTCCTAACAAAAGCAAATGAAGAAAAAACACTGAAGTTTGAGCTTTTTTTAATGTTTTTTTGTGTAAACCACAGCCGTGCCTCTCACCATACAGTCCATTAGAATGAATTTGAGCTTGTCTTCGTTGAAGGCTTGGTGGCCGTTCTTGTCATAGGCTGCCCAGATGTTGCTGGCAATGGCGGCAGTCACTCGAGCGTCAGTGTCTCCGTAACCGGAGTACGCCAGGAGGGAACCTTCGTTATTCAGCAGACTGGGGGGAAAATCATACAAAACATGTTTTTATCCGATCGAAATGATGCTATTATGATGACAAATCTATAGAAAGCTGCCAAAAACATGCACAGATGTTTGTTTACTAGTTTCTACATGATCTAAAATTACTCATGCTTCTTAATTTACTTCGATGGATAAATGAGGGCACAGATTGTAAAGTGCTTTGAGTATGTTGATTATATAGAAGCGCACTCAATAAGTACAGTCCATTTACCATAAATTGAAGTTAGTCTACCTTTACTATGTTCAAATTTAATAAAAAACAAGATAAACTCGTTGATTCTGTGACATAAAAACAAATATTTAAGTACAGGATGTAAAATTAATTAAGCAAAGTTTCAATTAAGAAGCATGTCTTAATTTTAGTCCAAGTTGTAAAATAACTATCAGCATCTAAAAAGACAATAAAATGTGTAATTTTAATTATATAAAGTCTAAAAGTAATTTTTCTTGATCAAATACGAGGATTTGTTTTTGCTTTAAGCCATAAGTTTTAAGGCTTTTTTTTACATGTTGTCTGTTTACGTTCATTAAAAATAAAAATAAATAAAAAGCTGAATGCTGTATTCAGGTAATAAACTAGCATGAAAGTGTCTGAGCAGGTTAGCCTCCTGTTAGCTCGATGCTAACCTCCTTACTTACAGGGTGTCTGGTGTTA